CCTGCGTTTACAAAGCCTCTGGAACCTACGATTGTGGAGCTATATCCCAAAGTTAGGGGACGAGGTCGGCCATTTTTTATGATACATTATGATACCCCATCATCTTTCATCATGCTGGTTCGCTAATATTAATTTATCTCCACAATATATTGAATATTATCATTATTAACCAACAATCAACAAGAAACATCAACAGTGAAACATCCAACCAATATTGTTATTATCATTTTATAAATAATAATTCCCTACACTCATCAAGCAAGAGGTGTTTTTTGGACGCAGCCACTGCTCATGGCTTCACTCAGGATTTGGACTTGCCATGACTGGTGATCCTCATCTGACCGGAGCATCTATGGATCTAAAACGCACCTATCATCACCTGTCTAATTTGGAATCCGCAATTTCAAGTCTTAACATGTCTCGAATTCTTAACTCCGTCACAAAAAGTAATCCACTTATTGAGTGCTGTAGTTACACCTGCTACACCTGTAGGATGCCTATCCCTTTTCCCTGATCTCAAAAGAAGTCTTTCAGCTATATGAACTGGAATTCCTTTCCGGGACGTGATCTACCGTAGACCTCAAAATGACATCTTTTATCATCTTATCATATATCCATAAATATCACAAGATACTCTAAGTCTATATCATCATAAAATGCTGAGGTTTCATGGTTCAGTTTCACAAATGTTCAACCGCTGTAAATGGACACCATAGCCACCATTGGCATCTATTGCCTTGATGGGGCCCCGCCAGGGCCCCCTTGTCACCTTGTAAATAGAGAGCGAGTGCTGGTCGAGCATAAACACCTTAGGAGAAACAGGCCCCTGTCAGTGGTGTTGAATCCTCAGAAACTTGTTGTTCATTGTTGTTCATGTGTCAGTCTGTGCCAGTCTAGAGTATCCCAGTTGTTCGTTCAGTGTAACTTCCCAGAAACTCACTGGATTGGTCCAAGGGAAAAATTGCAGGAAAACCAGGTTCTTCTTGTCCCATCAAGTATGGGGAGTTGCCTGCAATTTTTCCTCAAACCCAAATTTCAGATCTCCTGGGTTGGATGATATTTCTGTGAGCTCAGCTCCTGGGATCCATGGATAAGTCATGATATTGGTCCCCATCCCCAACCCCCAAACAGTTGATTCCCAATTTCAGGCAATTAATCCAAGCTCATATTCCCAATTCTTGGGTATGCTCCCCCCTACTTGAGCCCCATTTCATGTCTTCGAGTCCTAGTGCGGAATTCACCGAATTGCATACAGTATCTTTCCGCACCAATAATTAAAGGACCGGATAACCCCACAAGTCAACTTCTTCCAATAATGAGCAACAAATGTTGTAGCGGGGACGGGGAAGGAAGGAAAGACAAAGGCGGTGGTGGAGGATCGCGAAGTAAAACAAGATGTATGTGAAGAGTTGTGTGTGACAAAATTGTATGTGAAAGATGGTGTGTGACAAAGAAAGATGGTGTGTGTGACAAAGTGGTGCGTGAAAGATGGTGTGTGTGAAATTTGTGTGTGAAAGAGAGCGTGTGACAAAGTTGTGTGTGAAAGATTGTGTGTGACAAAGTGGTGTGTGAAAGATGGTGTGGCAAAAGATGGTGTGTGACAAAGTTGTGTGTAAAAGATGGTGTGTGACAAAGTTGTGTGTGTGAAAGATGGTGTGTGACAAAGTGGTGTGTGAAAGATGGTGTGTGACAAAGTGGTGTGTCAAAGATGGTGTGTGACAAAGTTGTGTGTGTGAAAGATGGTGTGTGACAAAGTGGTGTGTGAAAGATGGTGTGTCAAAGATGGTGTGTGAAAGGTGGTATGTCAAAGATGGTGTGTGACGGTGTGTGAAAGATGGTGTGTGACAAAGTGGTGTGTCAAAGATGGTGTGTCAAAGATGGTGTGTCAAAGATGGGGTTTGAAAGATGGTGTGTGACAAAGTGGTGTGACAAAGATGGTGTGAGAGATGGTGTGTGTGAAAGATGGTGTGTGGCAAAGTTGTTTGTGAAAGATGTTGTGTGAAAGATGGTGTGTGACAAAGTTGTGTGTGAAAGATGGTGTGTGACAAAGTTGTGTGTGAAAGATGGTGTGCGTGACAGAAAAAGATGGTGTGTGACAAATTGGTGTGCGAAAAAGAGTGTGTGACAAAGTTGTGTGTGAAAGATGGTGTTTGAAAGATGGTGTGTGACAAAGTGGTGTGTGACAAAGTGGTGTGAAAGATGGTGTGAGAGCCAGCCCAGTGCCATAAGTGCTACGCCTGCCACGCAAAGCCACGGTGCATGTCACCAAGTGCCACACGTGCCACGCAAAGTGAAGCTCTATGTCACTAAGTGCCACGCCTGCCACGCCAACAGCCGCGGCGACAACGGCGCCAAACGGAGACCCAAGCGCGCCACCAGAGCCAGCCCAGTGGCATAAGTGCCATGCCTGCCACACAAAGCCACGGTCGATGTCACCAAGTGCCACGCGTGCCCCGCAAAGTGAAGGTCTATGTCACCAAGTGCCACGCCTGCCACGCCAACAGCCGCGGCGACAACGGCGCCAAACGGAGACCCAAGCGCGCCACCAGAGCCAGTGCAGTGCCATAAGTGCCACGCCTGCCACGCAAAGCCACGGTGCATGTCACCAAGTGCCATACCTGCCACGCAAAGTGAAGGTGGATGTCACCAAGTGCCACGCCTGCCACGCCAACAGCCGCGCCGACCGCGGCGCCAAACGGAGACCCAAGCGCGCCACCAGAGCCAGTCCAGTGCCACAAGCGCCACGCCTGCCACGCAAAGTGACGGTCGATGTCACCAAGTGCCACACCTGCCACGCAAAGTGACGGTCGATGTCACCCAAGTGCCACACCTGCCACGCCAACAGCCGCGGCGACCGCTGCGCCAAACGGAGACCCAAGCGCACCACCAGAGCCAGTGCAGTGCCATAAGTGCCACGCTGGCCACGGAAAGCCACGGTCGATGTCACCAAGTGCCACGCCTGCCAAGTGAAGTTGTATGTGAGTAAGTTGTATGTGAGGAAGTTGTGTTTGGACAACTTACAGTATGTGTGGACAAGTTGTGTGTGAGTAAGTTGTGTGCGAGCAAGTTGTATGTGAGTAAGTTATGTGTGGACAAGTAGTATGTGAGTAAGTTGTGTGTGAGCAAGTTGTATGTGAGTAAGTTATGTGTGGACAAGTAGTATGTGAGTAAGTTGTGTGTGGACAGGTTGTGTGTGGACAACTTATGTGTGGACAAGTTGTGCGTGAGTAAGTTGTGTGTGAGCAAGTTGTATGTGAGTATGTGGACGAGTAAGTTGTGGATGAGCAAGTTGTATGTGAGTATGTGGACAACTTATGTGTGGACAAGTTGTGTATGAGTAAGTTGTATGTGTGGACACGTAGTATGTGAAGAAGTTGTGTGTGTGAGTAAGTTATGTGTGGGCGGGCGGCGGGAGGAGGCGGGCGGGAGGTCGGCGGGAGTGCACAACCAAAAACAAGAACCCCACAGAAAGATGTGGGGAAAAACAGCTGCAATACAGAAGTCTTGTACAGCATCATACTGGTTGGTGGTTTCAATCCTTCTGAAAAATATGAGTTCGTAGGATTGGATAATCATCCCAGCTATTGGGGAGACATCTCTGTTTCGGGCTTCCCAAAAGGACGAAAAGAAACTGTGATTACTGTGATTCCACAATTTTGACGGCGTTTCACTTCTCATTCCTGGACATGTCTGGACCCAAAGAAATCGATGATTCTACTCTCCAATTCCCAAAGGACATCCTCCCGTAGTTCCTGAAGGCAATGGACCTTCACCATTCTCGAAAAATCATCTATGATCATCTATGACTATGTTTTAACAAAAAAGTCCAGCCAGGCTAGATATGGTGGCTTCTTTAAACATGTGGGATCCCCAGTCGTCACCATGGGCAAGCATTTTACTAAGTCATGGTCATCCATGACTGGATGATGCAAGGGGGATCCCCATGAGGAAGCTTCTCAGCCAAGATGCAGCCCCAAGGCTTCGTTTGGCCTTTTCGCTGGCACGGCAGTCCTTCGGCCGCACGTGATTGGCCATTTCCTGGCTGGGGATCGGAAAATGATCGGCGGCATGTTTGACCAACCATGGGAAGTTGAAGTGTTTCACCATCTGGAAATAACCAATATACCAATAAAGGAGGTCTCCCCATGGGTCGCCGGAAAGAGATAGGGACTTTGAAAAGTCGCCGTCGAAAACCAGTGACCCAGCAACGCTGCCAAGGTGCTTTGCAGAAACGTCTAGCTGCCTGTCCTCCAGCATGAGTTTCAACCTTGGGCCAGGCCGAGTTAAGCAGTGATAGTCTCGATCCATTCCTGCAGTGACTGAGCCAGGAACAACTCGAGTTCGTTCCTGCGCAGGGCGAAGGGTACAAAAAGCCTGATAATATCATGGGGCGATACCTCGCAGTGACAGGACATTGATGATTAATGATGAACATGAGCTTTTCAAGTGACATCCCCAACCATTCAAGCACCTCTGTGCTGAGCTCGTGCCAAAGATTGGATAATCTCTGATCTGGCACCTGAGAAAAATATACCCTGAGAAGCTCGAGGTTGACAGGCATTTTAAACGGAACTGTTGGAACCCCCTTAAAGTTCTCTAATTCAATCTGCGTTATGTGAAATAACCTGGGTGTACATGTGTATTACAGCATGATAAGGCATCATACGCCAAAAAAAACATACAATCAATAAATAGAAATAACAAAAGTTAATCAACAGTTACCAACTGGAAAACTAACATAGCTAATCGTAACTATAGAAAATCACTAGTTTGAGTATAGGATAGTATAGGTAAATCAACTACAAATGGCTTATTTCAAAAGCTATGTTACATGACCAGAGGGTATATATGTTGGTGGAATTGGGGGGTCCGCTTCTCGCTGGATGTTGCAAGCACCACGACCCCACCGACCTCGTGACATCCTGGGTGTCCGACCCATCGCCAAACATGTTTGTGCTCGCAAACATCGAGATGCCGCCTGGCCAATCTCAAACACAACGACCCTTTAAACAAAGACCTGGGTAACGATGATCACAAACAAACACCATTACAAACCATTCATATGGGTCAAATTTTGTTTTTTTTCATAGTAATGTTTTTAGTATTGAACTATTAAAATCTATTGAGCTCTCATCCATATGGCTAATGGGGTGCCCATGGAGCTTTGTAGTCATTTCTGGTATTCAGCCATCCACTTTGGGGGTCGATTGTTTGGAGCTAATCCCCTATCTTTGACTGTTAAGTCTACCCGTCTACCCTGTGTTAAACTGGCATAGCTATGGAAAATCACATTTTTCTAGTAGGTAAATCAACTCGAAAAAAGGCCCATGTTCAATAGCATGTGCTGTTAGTCACTACCAGAGGGTACAAGCCCTGATCATTGATCTTTGCCGAGAACATCCCATTGGCTGGGGGAAGTCGGCAAAGGTCACACATGACCGTTGTGAAATCTTTGTAATCGAGCACCGAATCTCCCAATCGAGCACCGAAAAGAGAAAAACAAATTACCTCCTTTTCTGTTTGTCGAATTTTTCTGTTCTATCGAACTTCGGTGGTTGCTATAGATTCCATGAGCCACTTTTTCTAGTGCACAATATTTCGATCATCCCGCGAAACCCGACCATGTTCCCAATATGTGGATTTACTCCCCACATCCACCATGGTTTTCAAACGGGGGTGAAAATGAAATTGGTAAGGGATAACCCTCCAGTAATCTAACATGGCTGGAAAATCCATCATTTAGTTTAATGATTTTCCCAGCTATAAACCTTGAGTTATAGTAGACTTTCCCGGATTTTCTGATGAATTTCCCATTATATAAAGCATCCCTTTTTGATGGAGAAAACACCAGAAATCGCCACCTTTCCATCTCCCATCTGAGATGTCGACACTGAGAGGTGACTGGTGGTTAGGGGCCCACGCTGTTCCACCTCGGATTTTGAATCTGAATGAATCGATTTCCGCTGTGATTGTTTCCCATGAATGGATATATATATATATATGTATAGGATATATATATATATATATAGATGTATAGGATATATATATATAAATATCTATATATATATATACGATATATATATATATACGATATATATATATATATACACGATATATATATATATATACGATATATATAAATATATATATATATATCGCATATATATACATTTAGATATATATGCCATATATATATATCATATATATATATATCATATATATATATATATATATATCATATATATATATATATCATATATATATATATATATATCATATAAATATATACCATATATATATCATATATATATAAATTAAATCATATATATATGATATATATATATATTATTTATAATATATATATATATATATTAATAACAAATATATATGTAGATATATATGATATATATACAATAATCATAAATATATATACATATATCATAAATAAATAACATATATATACATATATCATAAATAAATATCATATATATATGTATATATATACAATTATCATATATATATACATATATCATATATAAATATCATATATCTATATATACATATCATATATAAATATCATATATATATAAAAATCATAACATATATATATATATGTATACAAATATCATATATATATTTATATATATATACATATGTATTCAACTATGAATGAATTTTAAAGTTCCATGAACGGATTTTCATGCGATTTTGAACCACAAGTGACTTTTCAATGAAGCCCCACGTGATTGACATTGATTGAACCCAATGGGGATATCATTTTCAAAGGAATCCCCACATGGTTCATCGTTTAGGGTGATTCAATGAATGGATAATTCATTTTAGGCCAAAAAGGGGGTTCAAACGGATGAATTCCTTTTCAATGATTTGACCCATGGTTTTCACAGCTGCAAAACACCATCAAACTGTGGCGTTTCCTGCCAAATCTGCCAATTTTCCCTTAACCGATTCTCATATATCTATCTGTATGAGTCCTTTTCTTGGGTGCCAGCACCCGTCAGTTCTGGAAGATTTTTGGGTCCGCCTTTTGAAACTGTCACAAGCTATTTTCACCAACCGAAAACTATATATATATATATACAGTAAAATGAGCTAATAATGTCTCTTTCTCACCTATTTTTGCGTCTTCTAAATGCGATGAATATCAACCACTTCATTGGGTGAGCAGTAGCAATCCCTCAAGTATTTCCGGATTATATAAACGATTGATTCAACGACTTTAAGTACCACATGCCTTGCCCCCGCTAGCCATCGACGGACCTTCTTCTGCGTGCTAAGCTCATTTCCTGGGGCGGTGACCCCTTCGGGATTTTTCACCACAAGGCTTGGAACATCTCAAGAGAAAAAGTGGATTCCATGTGGTTGTGTAAATAAATATAATATATATATATATGGTATTGGATACTATTCGCGGTATACTGGTGTCTGATGTCTATCTCAGTTACAAGTAGCAACTGGTTAATTATGGCTCGGCTGGGGAAAACCCACGAAAAACATGGGTTCCCGGAATCGGACCAGTGTTTGGTGGAGAGATCATTCACCTGGGTATCATAGAGATTATCTAGGGATATCATGGTCGGTTGGCGGTTTCAACCCGTGAAAACAGTATTAGCCATTGGGGGTATTAGCCATTGGGGGTCATCATTCCATCTGATCGGCGAAGGAAAAATATCCTTAGAATTATCGGTCATACATATGGTCATATCGCCACCGTTGTTGGTTATATCATGGCGAACCCCACGCCATCTTCAGAAAGAAGACACACACACTAGACAAGAAAGGATCATTGTAGTGATCCGTCAGGAACTGAGTCCTGTAACATGCAAACCAGCCTAGACAATTAGACCTAAGATAATGCAGGTACGTTTACACGCGTCCCGGGGGGGTGTCTTCGGTGGCCACCGACCCCCCCGGGACCCCGGTGGTCCCCTGCACTATTATGATTACTATGAGAAAGGGAGAGGAAAGAAGAAAGAAAAAGAGAGAAGTTTTACATCTATTCAGATGGTACACACACACCCGGCCGGAGCCGGGTCAACCCTGAAAGGCAAGAGGAAGAAAAAAGCGGACACACACGACGGGCCAACGACCAAAACAGCGCAGGGGGGGAGGGGAACAGACGGACCTCCAGAACCAACCTACACGGCGAAACGGACCTGACCAAAACAGAGCACACACCGAAACCACACGACACATTACGGAGAGGCACGAAGGGAGAATTAGGGACCAAATGGGGGACTAGTTGATGGCAAACAAGAGAAACCAAAACAATAAGTTTAAAAACAGAACTCAGTCCCTAGATACCTACTCCGAACCGTTAAAGTCGACCAATTTAACAGAATTGTGTCAAATCTCATTGGGACGCCGTTGGATCAGGAAGTCAAATAAGTTGACCAAAAGCAAGGTCAACCCCAATGGGACGCCGATGTACGACAAACTCTGTTTTGGCAAGTTTTGCTGTGTGAAAGATGAGGAAACACCTTGTGGACGCAACTCCCAAAACATCTTCAAAGTGGTATTAAATACAACAAAAAACACTCATGTCATATTGGGACGCCAGTGATTCACCACATGTAGAAAAGCTGCTTTTACCTGTTGGATTCTGTAGGGACACGGTTACCCTCTGGTAAACTAACGTAACTATGGAAAATCACATTTTTTTAATATTTTTAATGGGTAAATCCACTATAAATGGCCATTTTCAACAGCTATGTTAGTTTACCAGAGGGTAGCTGTTTCGAACGACGTCCGAACGACGTCCGAACGACGTATCGAACGACGTCAAAGGGTATCAAAACCCAGACCTTTGGATTAATTTGCTTTCATGTTCCTTTCATTCTCCTTTCATTTCCTCTCATTTCCTTTCATTGTCCTTTCATGCGATCATGAAAACATGGTATAGATACAACCTAAATACGAAGTCACACAAAGTCGCTGGCAATGCAAAACCCACGAAAAAGTCAAAAACTGAAAAAAACTAACTTGCTAGACACAAGCTGGACGCAACATTGGTCAACTTTAGAAGTTGCGTGCGCGCAGCTGGGACGCTCATTTCATTGAAATCGTTCAACTTTAACAACTCAGAGTAGAGGTCGTGCGTTATTCCCTTGCCGGGACGGTAGTCAGGTCAGCCCAGAGGGCAAATAACAGCTAGACAAGTTCCATCGAATTAGGCGCACAAAATGTTTGACCTCACCAAACAACCATAAAAAGAAAGAGTCATATACCTGCAAGCATGAACCTGCCTTGCTGTTCAAATGTCACTTCAAATGTCACTCCAGAAGCTACGTGGGCAAAAAATGAAGTTTCTGGCAGTTCGGAACGGCTTCACTCTGTAAAGAATGCATTTCTCAAAGGGTCTCAAAGGACAGCCGGAGCAGCGAGAATCACCAAAAATGGTGCAAAACCAAAAGGCCGACTGTTTCACTTTACTTAAATGAATTACTAATTCAAAAATGTCAATTCAGAAATCAGGTCAGTCATCAGTCACCCACAAAGGGGTTGCCTCAATTGGCTCCATGGCACCATGTCGGAGCCACCATGGAAATCACACTAGACAAGAAAGGATCATTGTAGTGATCCGTCAGGAACTGAGTCCTGTAACATGCAAACTAGCTTAGACAATTAGACCTAAGATAATGCAGGTACGTTTACACGCGTCCCGGGGGGGTGTCTTCGGTGGCCACCGACCCCCCCGGGACCCCGGTGGCCCCGTGCATTATTATGATTATTATTAGAAAGGGCGAGGAACGAAGAAAGAAAAAGAGAGAAGTTTTACATCTATTCAGATGGTACACACACACACAGTCTTACAAATTCCACAGCTTGGATGGTGTACTTCTAAACCTACCAACCATCTGGGGGATGTCCCTTATGCACACGGAAAAGGATTGCATTCCCATAGAACAAATGACAACCCATAAAAACCATCTGGTTTTGAAACATGGTTTGCTGGAAAATTCCATAATTGTACAGTAGACGATTTTCCCCAGCGCTTCGGGGATTTGCCAGCCTGACAGAGGCTCACATCCTCCGCGCTCCCTGACCCCCTGACCTTCGTTGACCGTCTCTTTCGCTTTCAAAAGCGCAGGTCCGATGTCTATAACCATCGACCTCGGCCAGCGACTGGGGACCAAGCAACCAACCATAGAAATTATATTACTACAAGATTATGATAGATCGTTCATATCATTCATGTTTGAAGAGATAGGGATTTAGGATGATTTAGGAAAATTAATCCCTTCCTCATAATACTAAACGTCCCCCAAATACTAAAAACAGGCGTCCATCTCCAGTTTCAGAAAATTTCAGATTGGCCAATTTGACTCTTAATTGATCTCCGTTAGAAAACAATTTAAAAATCAAGCTACCATTTGTGGGTTTCCCCCCCTAATACTAAAAACTAGTCAACCCCGGGGTGTTTATTATTAGGGTCGGTCCGATATTTTTTGTTTTTTATATAAGGGTTTTTAATTTAGTATTAGGGGGAAGCTTCGAACTCCAATTTTTGGCAATATTTTCATTGCGTTATATAAAGAAATATCATTGATTTTGAGATCGGAACAAATAGTTTTTATTATTAAGGGTTATAATTTAACAGTAGGGGGAAGCTTCGAAATTGAATTTTTGGCAATATTTTAATCGCGTTGCATAAAGAAATTTCATTGATTTTGAGATCGGAAAAAACAGTTTTTATTATTAAGGGTTTTAATTTAACATTAGGGGGAAGCTTCGAAATCCAATTTTTGGCAATATTTTAATTGCGTTATATAAAGAAATTTTACTGATTTTGAAATCGGAAAAAATAGTTTTTATTCTTAAGGGTTTTAATTTAATATTAGGGGGAAGCTTCGAAATCCAATTTTTGGCAATATTTTCATTGCGTTATATAAAGAAATTTTACTGATTTTGAAATCGGAAAAAATAGTTTTTATTCTTAAGGGTTTTAATTTAATATTAGGGGGAAGCTTCGAAATCCAATTTTTGGCAATATTTTCATTGCGTTATATAAAGAAATTTTACTGATTTTGAAATCGGAAAAAATAGTTTTTATTCTTAAGGGTTTTAATTTAATATTAGGGGGAAGCTTCGAAATCCAATTTTTGGCAATATTTTCATTGCGTTATATAAAGAAATTTTACTGATTTTGAAATCGGAAAAAATAGTTTTTATTCTTAAGGGTTTTAATTTAATATTAGGGGGAAGCTTCGAAATCCAATTTTTGGCAATATTTTCATTGCGTTATATAAAGAAATTTACTTGATTTTTAGGGATTTAATTTAATATTAAGGGGAAGCTTCGAAATCCAACTTTTGGCAATATTTTAATTGCGTTATATAAATAAATTTCATTGATTTTGAGATCGGAAAAAATAGTTTTTAAAAATAGTTTTTATTATTAAGCGTTTTTATTTAATATTAGGGGGAAGCTTCGAAATCCAATTTTTGGCAATATTTTAATCGCGTTACATAAAGAAATTTCATTGATTTTGAGATCGGAAAAAATAGTTTTTATTGTTAAAGGGGCGTTTAGTAGTAGGAGGAAGGGATTAAAGCAAGAGATAGGGTCTGTATTCCCAGCGAAAAACGAGAATTTCTCATGAAGTTGAGCAAACGCTCTTGGAGTGGAGCGAGCTTTCCAACTTCAAAGTGCATGATTTGGCTTGGCTTGTACCGCTCATCCAACATCTTCCGCGTTGGAAAGTGGTGAGCCATCCACTGGGTAAGAACCAGAGATAGCTAGGATATCTCAGGGATCGACCCAATTTTTTTCTGTAAATCACTCTATGCACTGAAGACTACAATGAAATCTCAACATAACGTTCAAGTCATCTTCCAGGGCTCCAAGTTGGAGGATCGATGTTCGTTTTCCATGGTCTTTTCGAATGAAACCCTGAAAACCCATGTAGAAAAACGTGACCCATAAGTAGAATTACATATAGATAGATACATAATCATGCCCTTATTAAATACTGTTGTTTTTTACCCTCTATATTATGATATTGTATATATTACAACAACTTATCGAAGGAAGTTTAGAAGTTAAACTTTCGACAATATGGACAGATGAAAAGCAGAGCAGGGAAGAGGCAGAGAGAAGAGAAGAGGCAGAGAGAAGAGAAAGATCAGAAGAAAGAAGAGTTAGAAGAGAAAGAGTCAGAAGAAAGCAGATGCCGATGCGCGAAAAGGTAGGAAAGTCGCGAAACACTGTGTTTTCCCAATGATTTGGGGCTCCGGAGGGTCGAAAAGTAGGCTCGCTAAAGCGGCGGGTGCGGAGCCAGCTGGCCAGATGAGAGATGAAAAGTTGCACGCCGTTGTGGCGCGAAGGACATTTGGAAGTCAAAATGTGAAAAACACCAGGGGTTCGGACCACTTTTGGAAGTTGAGATGTTGAAAAAGTGCGCGCCGTTGTGGCGCGAAGCACATTTCCAAGTCAAAATGTACAAAGCACACCAGCTCCGGACCACTTTTGGCAGTTGAGAT